TAATTCGCGGAATTGAAGAACAACTTTAATTCCGCAAAATTGAAGAACAACAATTAATAATTTTGAATTTCGTAAAATTATTGTTCTTCAATTCTATAGAATTTTGCTTCAATTCTCCAAAATTGAATGAGTTGAACTTCAATTCTATAGATTTGAAGTTGTTTTTCAATTTTGTAAAATGAATTCATTCAATTCGGCGAATTTTTCAATAATTCTCCGAATTGAAGAACAACTTCAAATTTATAAAACTCGAACTTCAATTCCGCACAATTGTTGTTCATTAATTCTATAAATTTGTTCTTCAATACTAAAAAATTCAAGATGAATTTATTTAATTTTGGAAATTTTTTCAACAATTCTCTAAAATTGAAGAACATTCTCCAGAATTAAAGAACAATTTCAAATATGCAGAATCGAACTTCGGTTGTACAAAATTGTTCATCATCAATTCTAGAGAATTATTCTTCAAAAAAGTGAGCTTCAATAATTGGGCCAAAAATAGGGCCAAACGATAAGAAAAAAACTAATTTTCATTAAATTTCCAATTGCCCTTTTTAACTTCTTCCCTGTTAGACATTATAAGTGAAAAATTCATAATTATCATCCATGCAAAATTCTAAAATCATAGTTGATGAAAATCATATAAACATTAGACAATATTCAAATCGAAACATAATTTCATTCATTTCACCTTCTTTTCTTATTATGATAAGCTAAGAACAAATAGACACAAAATGTGACAATCAATTGAATATATTCCTTAATATCACACCAAAATTTACACCAAAATCAACTTAACATTGAACCTAAAGCCTACAAATTTAACATAAATATTTCATAATTTTTACATCTAAAATTTACACTAGTAAATATGTTACTTATTGCAAATTACCCAAAACACATTCAACAAATCCTACAAATTTAACAAAACTCGATCAACATTAAACTATTCCTAATAACATCCTATTTAACCAAGCAAGAACCATACTAACATAATAATTACAACCAAATAACCAACACAATTGTTACATCCGAATGTTTCTTCTCCGTGTCTTTATTACCACTTTCAATCTTCTCTCTGTCTTCATTACCACTCGCCAATCTTCTCTCTTAGAGCCAAATCTTTTCTAAACAAATGCTCATTCTCGTAGCTAGCCCCTTTTCGGTATATTTCAAAGTATTAATTACATTTCTTGCTCTTTCTCTCACCATTGTGCATTTTTGATTGCCATCCTTTGCGTTGAATTTGGGACATGCAAAGAACCTCATTTTAAAATTATTATCACTCCATAAAGTCCATCAATGAGATGGGAGTCCACAACCGTAGTATCTTATGGGATAATCCTCCGGATAACCATATTAGGGTTTTGAATGAACGAAGATATATCTTTCACATTAGATGCTTTTGATGATTTTGAAGTAGAAAAAGAAGAAGATTGGGAAGCCATGAAATCTCACAATCAAAGACCAAATTTGAGGAAGATTTCAAAAACTTGAAAATGTCTTAACCGATTCTACCCCCAAATCAATCAAATAGAAAAACACTCATAAAACCCTAAAATTATCTCTCCTTTCTCCTCACAATATTGTCTCTCTCGTGTTCGAGTGTATAATCGGGGTAACATTGCCAACTCTCTCTCTCTCTCATGTGCTATCTATCCATTTCACTTACGAAGGCTACCTCTCTCTTTCTCTCTTCTCGAACATTGAAATTTTTTTGTTTGATTAGGGATATAAGACAAGCGACAAGTCGTTTGCCTTACATCCACAATCTAACCAAACTTAGTTTTAGTTTAATGATTAAAAAAATTAAACAAAAATAATATCGTTACATTTAACGTCAATTAAGAAAATTAGATCAATTTTGCCTAATCTCTAATACTTTGGGGTCTAAATTATGCGATTTGGTACTATAGATCTAAAATTACCAAATCGCAATAGATTGGAAGCAAAATTTACCGTTAAACCTATTCAATTGAGTGTAATTTAATCACTAAAGAAATTGCTTTGATTCAAATTTAAATGACTATAATATGTTTTTTTATCCTATAATTTTACTACTATTCATTTTTTAAAAAATTTTTACTAGCTTAAATATCATATCAAATTTGGACAAAAAAGATAGGCGTCAATCATATAGAAATCATCGGTTATTTGATATATTTTAAAAGGAAAAGGATAGGGTCCAATTATATACGAAAGTAAAATAAAAGGACTTGGTGCATCAAATTAGAAGACGATTCAATTAATTAAACTGATCAAGTACATACTATGTGTGCAATTAACCCATCTATCATCATCTACTCGTTATTATTTTTAGGTTATATATATAGTTGTCTTTCTATAATACTCAAAGTCTTTTATCTCGTCTTTAAAATTTGTTGAAATGTTCAATTTGTCTTTCCGATGAAATTTTCCGACCATAAATTTTTTGTTTGACCAAAATACGTTTTACTATAATATGAAAAAAAAAACAAAAATACTTAAAGTTACACGATTTATATGTTTTATTTTTGAAGTTTTTAAAATTTTATTTTTTGCAATTCAATCGAGAGTATTTTGATTAAAAAAATATTTTGGTAGTAAAAACTAATCGAAAAGAAATATTGAACATTTTAAATACTTTTATAAACAAATATAATGTCATTAAAAACTTAAAAGACACATGTGAAATTTTGAATATTATATAAAAATAGATAAATATATTTACTAAAAAAAATACCATGTAGTTCAGATAATAAATTGAAAGGAGAAGTGGGCAATTTGAAAACGTAAATGATTAGGTGGTGAATTTTTCTCGTCTTTACAAAATAAAAAAGCATTCCGAATACCTACAAAACTTATCCTTAAATAATTGATATGAAAAAAAATAATTTGATAGATGCAAATTAACTTAATATGGTAAACTCTACCAATAAAATCACTTCTCATCATCTTAATTTGTTACTTAAATTAAAATTTCAGCCACACTTGAGATGCAAAAAATAAAGAATACTGAAGCTATTGTCAAAGGAATAATCGGCCTAAGAAAAAAAACTCAATTTATCTTTTTGTTTATTATAAAAAAGAGGTTCAAACTCAAGGGTTTTTTTTTTTTTAAGAGGAAAAAGATGTTACTAGCAGTTGAGTTACAAGTAATTTATTGTTAAATAAATTTTTGTAGCAGAGATGCATGCTAATTTATTTTATTTTTTAAAATCTTCACAACTAAATATTACTATCATAGGAATTGGAGTAAGGTGATCCTCTATTCAATTACAAATATTTTTAAATGATGTCATCAAATTAGTTCAACAGAAAATAAGTAATAATTGATTAATGAAATTACTTGTTAAATTGCTTATATCACCATGTAAAGGGTGAGAAGGACCATGTAGCAAAAGAGCACATATATGGCCCATTATTGCGACGCAACGTAACGGACCCACTCATGTCGAGAACTGTGATAGATGCCAGCCATCTCCTCTTAGATTCATAGAATTAGGTCAAGAACTGGCAACTTTCATATATATAGTTGTAGGACGGGAGAGATTCTTAAAATGGGTTTTATATTTATCTCCTAAATTTTTTGATATGTTTCATCTCTAACATTGCCACGTCCGCTAAACTTTCTTTATACATATCAAGCATTTAAATAAATTTTAAGTATTTATTTTTTAATATAATTTTGGAGATTTTTCTTAATTCTGGTAATGCCATGTCGAATAATATGTTGTATTTTTTTAATTTAATTTTTTATTAAAAATATTGGAATACACAATTTCTACCTCACACACACACACAAATAATAATAATAATAATAATAATAATTACATAATATTCTCATATCATTTAAAATAATAAGTTTATAATAAAACTTGCAGGCTGTTCAAAAAATAACAACAAAAATAAAACAGATCAAACTTGGTATTTTTCATATATTAACAAAAATATATATATATAAAACCACAGCATTTTTTATATATTAACACAAATATAAAAAAATAATTAAAAAAAACCACGGTAACGTGTAATTCATCGGCGAGTTTATATTATATGGTCCCCAAATAGCTTTCTTGTATAACAACGTGGTTGGGCGACACGTAATGGTTATAACGAACACAAATCCTTTTCCAGTTCAAGAGTTGTAAAGAAAGAAAAGCAGCACATAAATTCAACACAATTAAGCGCTCAGAAAGCACATTCATGAATCCTTCTTCAAAGTCCAAAATTCTTCTGGTTATGCCTTTTTTCTTTCCAACTAATACACGGTAGAATTAGAAAGATTCGTAATTAAAGATTTTAGACAGCAATTTCACAGGACATTCATCTTTCGCTATTGATAACATCCCATTAGAGAAAATAACCCAAAGGGAGCACATCAGTCAAAGCGAATGTCTCTCTCCATCCTCAATACCAAGGAAAGTTAGGCACGTATACATTGCATTTGGTAGATTCAACTTTGGTGTTCTGCCTTCAATCATAACTTGCGAATAAATACAACACTTTATCTTTTTCCTCCTGCCGTTACTTGTTTTCCCCACTTTTAGTAATTCGATTTGTGATGCGAAGAAATTAAGAAAAGGCTATGGTTTAGGAAGAAATATTCGACGGAATATATTTTTCCCAAATAACGCCGCTACTATTGTTGCCTAACTGGTTGAGATCAATAAAAATGGCATCGGTTAGGAGAAATCACTGTTCTTTCATTACCTGTTTGCAATTGCATTGAAAGACAGACAGACATCAAAATTTGGCTGATAGCTGCAGTTAGCAATTCGCAATTCTGCCATGGGACTATTATTAACGAAAAGCAATTATAATAAGGAGTAGCAATATTTTGTGCGAGATCCTGACAAAATAATTTTGCGTTCCTAAAAGAATAATTGTAGTTCAGATTTTCTCTTCATTCATGTACTATCAACGAGGATCAAAACCACTTCTGAAGAAGCTAAAGCAACTGGCCATTTATTTGATCTACCTTTTTAACTTTTGATTCTTGAGTCTCTGCCTTTTCTGCTTCAACGATGGATCAGTTCTGGAAACATTGCACATACCTTCAGAAGATCCTCGTCACTGCTAATGGCATACTTTGCACTAGAAGTTGCCATAGATGCAGCCCAAAGGTTGGAGTGACCCAACGATATAATTGGTCATTTTGAGGATCATATCAAGGTTTTCAGTTTTCTAAAGTCGAAAAACTACACAAAGACCCACGATGAATGAATACAGTTTCTTTAACCAAGCAGACCTGATACCGAACAACACTTGCTCTTCTGTCTCGTTCCAATGAGCCTGAATTTCCTCTGATGCGTTTTGCAACCCTATCAACCCAGGCAGCACAGATAGAATGGCCTAAGATATCTTCCACATTCAGCAAAACAGACCTCTTACAGGACAAAACCCTCCAAGCTTGTTCCACATCCTCCATGGTCCCATGGGTCCAAGATAAGTCCTGCTCAAACTCATAAACGTGGTGATTGAAGACCGGTTGAAGAAGCTACTTTCTGAGCTTGGACATTTCTTCGATGGCTTTAAGGTGCAAGAAATTTTCGTTGCAAGACATGAGCTACAGTCAAAGTATCACTAGTAAAATTGGAAAATCTAGCACGAGATAATTTAGCTGTTTCTCGGTTTCTTTTTCTTTATCTTTTCTTGCTTGTCTAAAATTTTATTACTTCCTAGGCTACTAGATCTTCCATCATGCCTTGTGTAGGGTTATTTTTTAATAAAATATTAAAAAAAGAAAAGAATAAGTTACTGTTTTGAGTCAGTAATATATACTGTTTCAACAGTAACTTATACGTGGAACGATACTTTTAAAAGAAAAGCCGTTTTTTATTCAATGAACAAACGGGTTTTTACATTCTCAACGATTTTTTTCTTTTTACTGTTTAAGTCATTTAATTATTTTATTAATTCAGCTGTCCATCGAACATTTTCTTTTACTATATAAATGGCACTTGCCATTTGACGAAACACAACTACAACAAACAATTTCTTACCTCGTGGAGAGTAAAAAAATAGCAAGCTTTTTGTTTTTTTTTCTTTACTTTGCTAAGAGAGAAAAAAGAAAGTTTCTTTCCATTTTATTGTTTTTGTTTTCCACCAAAAGCCATATTATTATCTTTTTTTGTTAATTTTCTTTGGATAAAATTGATGCTAGTTTATAATTGAGTTTCAAGTCTTACAAATAGTATAAAATTGTTAAGACACAAGCAAGGTGATCGAACTTGTTGTATCCTCGAGACGGTGTGCAATATATCCTTAATACGTTGCATCGGATAAAATTATGCGGACAACGAGTATTATCTCAAGAAAGTAACCTCGCTTGTGCCTCGAGATAGTCACCTATAAAATTTTAGTAAAGTTACTTTGGTGTTTTTCCACTCAAAATTTTCAAGTAATATTTTTCTATTTTTTCGTCAATTTGAGACAATACCTGCTAATGAAAAATACTAATTTGCATGGGCAAAGCTCCACTACACTACGGACGGAGCGTATCGTCTCAAGAAAGCAATCCGATTGTGCCTCGAAACAGCTTACCTATAAAATTTTGGTAAATCTGCTTTGGTGCTTCTCAAAATTTTCAAATAATATTTTTCTATTTTTCCATCAATTTGAGATGATACTTGCTAATAGAAAACACTCATATGCATGGGCAAAGCTCCACTAGAGTGGGCGATCTTAACATACCTTTCCGCTCTCGTGGTGCAAATTTAAAAAACGGAGGCAAAAGACTTTATTTTTATCTTACTCTATTGAATATGAGCTATGTCTTAACCGATAAAAGTTATAAGAGAAAAAAATTAAAAATATGAGTGATGAAGAGATAGCTCAATGTGAAATAAAAGTTACGAAATGGGAAAGGGATAGTGATCATTGTAGAAATTATTTACTAAATTATCTTTCCGGCGAGTTTTATGACTACTATGACCAAGGATATTCTTTTGTTAAGAAGGTTTGGAAGGCTCTAGATCAAAAATATGACAACGAAAAAGCTAGATCCAAAAAATATGCTTACGAGTCTTTTTTTCGAGTTTCAAATGAATGAAGAAAAGCTTATGATGGATCAAGTCTATGAACTTTAAATGATTGCACATGACATCCGCTCCGAAGGCATACATGTAGATGAGCAAATGCTAGTTTCAGCCATCATTGACAAGCTACCGAATCTTGAAAAGATTTTACTAAAGGTTTGAGGCATAAACAAAATGAGCTCTCTATTAAAGCTCTTATTACTCGTCCGAGGGTTGAAGAAGAAGCAAGAAATTGAGACAAAGCTATTGAACTCAATGGTTTAATTGGTACTAAGGTAAACTTCATTATCTCTTATGAAAACTTCTATCATATGCCAAAAGCCAATAGAAAGTGTAATGGTCAATATAAGTTAAAGAAAAAATTTTTCAAGAAAAAGCCTTATGGAAACCGAGTGTCACTCCAACCAACCTAGAAATTATGGATCACGTCCTAAACCATCGTTAACTAATGGCAACCACAATAATGTTTATGCTTATTTTATTTGTGGTAAACCCGGGCATGTTGCTAAAAATTGTCGCCTTTGAAAACATGGACTCGTTACTTAAGTTAACGTTATTGAAGAGCCATTTGTGACTATGATTTTTAAGATTAATATTCTTAAAGGCTCGGAGGGGTGGTGGGTTGATTCGAGAGCTACTCGGACATGTCTCTTATGATAAAAACTTATTTAAGACTTATACAATCTTGGATGAGAAAGAGAAAATCATGCTTGGTGATTCTCACACTACCGATGTAGTGGGGGTTGGAGATGTACTTATTAAATTTACACCTGGAAGAGAGGTTACTCTTAAAGATGTGCCGCATGCACTCGAAATTCATAAAAAATTGGTTTCGGTTTTCTCTTTAATAAAGTCGGCTTTAAGCAAGTTATTGAGATCGACCAATATGTGCTTTTCAAAAAAGACCTATTTATTAGAAAAGGCTATGTTTGTGATGGGATATTTAAACTTTATATTGAAATGAATAATGAAATATCCATTTCGTTTACATTGTTTTTTGTGTGAATGTTTGGCATGGTAGAATATGTCATATAAATTGCAAATATGTGAAAAAAAACTTGAGTAATCTTGTTTTACTCCCTAAACTTGAAAATGAGTTTGAAAAATGTGAATTTTGTAGCATGGCTAAAATTTAAGAAAACATTTTAAAAGTGTTGATCATAATTCGAATTATTAGAACTAATACATACTAATATATATGAGTTTAGTGGTATTCTAACTTGTGGTGGTAATTTTTATTTTATAACTTTTATTGATGATTTCTCAAAATATTCATATGTTTTTCTTATGAAGCATAAAAATGAAGCTTTTAAAAAATTTACTAATTTTTTAAAAGAAGTTGAAAGCAGATTTGGTAAAAGGATTAAAAGGCTTCGAAGTGATAGAGGTATGGAATGTGGCTCTATTAGTTTCAATGATTTTATGCAAACTAATGGTATTGAGCATGAAGTTACAGACTTCATATTCATTATGTTCAAATGGTGTAGCTAAAAGGAAGAACATAACTCTAATTGATTTGATAAATTATATGCTTGTTAGTTCAAATGCTCTAAATAATTTATAGGGTGAAGTCGTTTTATCCGTAAATTTTGTTTTGAATAGAATTCTTCATAAAACCATATTTTTAACTCTTCATGAATTATGAAAAGGTTATAAGCCAAAATAAGATTTTTTAAAGGTATGGGGTTGTTAAGCTTTTGTTAGACTACCCGATCCTAAAAGATCAAAACTTGATAAAAAAAAAAAGAGCTTCCACTTATGCTTTTTTGGGTTATGCTTTAAATAGTAAAGCTTATAGATTTTTTGATTTTGATAATAAAACCATTATTGAATCTTTGGATGCTATTTTTCATAAAAACAAATTTTCTTTTAAAGTAGAAAATAGTAGGGGTATGATTCTTCAACCAAGTGTTAAACTTTCTTCTTCAAGATTTGAAAATAAAAATGATTTTAAACCTAAAAAGAGTAAAAGAGTTAGATTTAAAAAGGATTTTGGTTCGATTACTACTTATATAATGTATAAAATGATCCTATTTCTTTAGAGATTTTTTTGAAGAGAAGATATTTATGATGAAATGGATTCTCTAATTTCAAATGATACTTGAAAAATAGTTGAATCACCTCGTGGTTGTAAGACAATTGGATATAGTAATTAAAAAGAAGTTGAATCTCGATGGGTCCATAGAAAAGTTCAAAGCTAGACTAGTAGCTAAAATTTTAAACAAAAGAAGATATTTATTTCTTTGATATTTTTTCTTCAAGGGAACATCTATTAGATTGCTTATTGTTGTTGCTATTATTCATAATTTGTTTATACATCGGATGGATGTAAAGACAGTTTTTCTAAATAGAGATTTAGAAGAAAAAATATATATGGATCAACTTAAAGGTTTTTATAGCATAAAGTGATGAAAATAGGTATACAAGTTACAAAAGTCTTTATATGGTTTAAAACAAGCACCTAAATAATTGTATGAAAATTTTGATGCTTGTTTACTTAATAATGGTTTTAAAGTAAATGAAAGTGACAAGTGTATATATTATAAATACTATGAGAATGTCCATGTGATTATATGCTTATATATAGATGATCTTTCAATTTTTAGTTCAAACATGAATGTTATTAATAATACTAAATTTTTGCTTCAAAATAATTTTGATATGAAGGATTTAGGTTAAGCAAATATGATTCTTAGCATGAAAGTCTCTAGAGTTTCAAATGGAATATTTATTAATCAATCTCATTATGTTGAAAAGCTTTTGAAAAAATATGATTTTTTAGATTATAAACATGTGGGAACTTCTTTTGATACTACTATGCATCCATTTTTAACAAAAAATGATAATGACATTTGCTATCAAAAAGAGTATGCTAGTATTATTGGTAGTCTTAGGTATGCTACGGATCGTACAAGACTTGATATTGCCTTTATTGTTAGGGTTCTAGCAAGATTTACTAGCAAAACCAATGCTCAACATTGGAATGCAATAACTCATCTAATGAGACACTTAAAAGGTAGAATGAATTATGGCTTGTTATATTAAAAGTATCTTGTTGTACTTAAAAGGAACAACGATGTTGATTGGAATACCTTATCCGGTGATTCATTATCTACCATTGGATATGTTTTTACTTTAGATAGAGGAGCAATATGTTAAAAATCTAAAAAGCGAGTCAATAATTACAAAATCCACTATAGAAGTAGAATTGATAGCTCCAGCCTCGGCTAGTGATAAAACAGAGTTGGTTACGTGATCTTTTATATGAAATTCCTATATGGAAAAAACCTATATCATTTGTCTATTTATTCATTATGAAAGCACAACCATTATTTAAAATGTGCATAATATATATTATAATAAAAAATCTAGATCTGTTAGAAGAAAACACGGTATTGTGAGGTCATATATAAACAAAAGTGCCATAAATGTCGATTATGTCAACATAAAGGAAAATTTAGCTAATCCTTTTATAAAAGCTTTGGCCAAAGATAAGATCTAGATAGCATCGAGGGGATGGATATAAATTTTAAAGTTAAATAAACTACCTATAAAGATACCCCACCTAATTGAATGGAGATCCTAAGATCTAGATTCAAAGGGAAAAATAAATTATAAGAGTAGTTGATTATCATGTACTAACATATTTTTCCATCCCTATGATGCAAATGCATGAACCTTATAACGAAAGAAAAGTTAAGTTTCTTTAGAGGAAACTTTTAATATGGTCTATAATTCTTATTCAATTGGATGTTAGAGTTATGAGAGCATCCTTGATAGACACACTTATCCGAGTGAGGGAATGGGGTAACTTCCTATGAGAATTGGGTTAATTCTTTAGAGCACTCATAGAAGCTGGGATCAAGCACAAGGTCGTTAATGTACTCGGCTCGAAACTCATCATAGAGTAACTGAATATAATATGTGTGATACAATATTTGTTTCACTTAAAAAACCTTAGTTTAAGACAATGTTCACTATTGACTTGAGAAAAATATTGTTAAAACACTAAATAAGGGTTCAAGCTATTGACACATTTATTATATATTATATTTATTTCCTTACCCAAAATTATATGGCTAATACTTAAAAAAAATACGTGGGGATTATTAGGTTTTTTTAATAAAATATTCAAAAAAATAAAAAAGAAAAGAAAGTATAAGTTACTATTTTGAAATAGTAACGTGTACTAATAGTAATGTGTACTTGTTTAAACAATAACTTATACCACTGAATGATACTTTTAAAAGAAAAGCTGCAATAATTTTTTTTATCCAATGAACAAACGGTGTTTTGCATTCTCAACGTTTTTTTTACCATTTAAATCATTTATTTTTTTTATTAATTCAACTATCCAACATACATTTTTTTTACTACATAAATGGCTTTTTCCATTTGATGAAACACAAATACAACAAACAATTTCTTACCTCGTGGAGAGTGAAAAAATAACAAGCTTTTTTTCTTTATTTTGCTTAGAGAGAAAAAAAAGTTTCATTCAATGTTACTTGGTTTTGTTTCCCACTAAAAGCAATATTTTTTTTTGTTAATTTTTTTGGGTAAGAGTGGTGCTAGTTTATAATTGAGTTTCATGTCTTAAAAGTAGCGTAAACTTGTTAAGACACGGCAAGGTAACCGATCTTATTGTATCCCTAGAACGACATGCAATATATCCTTAATCTGTTACATTAGATAAAATTTTACGAATGACGTGTATTGTCTCAAGAAAGCAACTCGATTGTGCCTCGAGACACTCACCTCTAAAATTCTAATAAAGCTACTTTAGTGTTTTTCCACTCAAAATTTTCGGGTAATATTTTTCTATTTTTCCATCACTTTGAGCTATTGTCGGTATGACTTCCTTCAAAATGCTTTAGAAAAGGATTAGACAAGCTCAATGTTGCAGTTGTTACCAAAATATTGTAACTTCAAAAACCATGTTATAGTCATAAAAGCAAACTCACTAAAATAAGTAACTCGTATGGATTGAAAGACAACGAAATACATTATAGATTATGGCTAGGACAACTAGACAAGTCAACTACTAGATCCTTATTCCTTCATATACAACCCTATTCATATAATTTAATGTGCCTCTTAATATTTTTAGATAGTTAGGAAACAACATATGATAAGAAAACAATCCATTCCACATCTACTACAAACATAAAATATGAAAAAGATAATTGGTCATAGTATGGATATAAGAATCCTATATGATCTTCTACTAGCCGAGCTTAAAACCCTTTGTGCATAAAAAAATGCCATCATGAAGCCCTATTGCATTTAATGGGAAAAAAGAAAGGTAAAGATTTTGTAGGGAATTAAAAAACCAAAACATAGTAGAAAACGCACCTTGTAGATATGCATGGATTTCAAAACAAGACCAATGCTATCAATTGGTACTTTAGATATTTTAGCACAAGAGAAGTCGGGAAGTATGTTATTATAGACGAGCATATGAATAGAGATAATAACAATGTCCAAGCGTTGTTCTTCCTACTCTTCCTTTACATTGATTAACTAAAGCTTAACTTCCATTGTATTTATATGTTTCCATGCCATTACTATTGGGTTTCCCTCCTAATTAGAGGATGGCCTAAAGATTTGCTTACATGAACCCAATTTTATAGTCATGTCAAGGAGAATTTTTTAATCACTTGAAAGGTAATTTGAGTATTTTCCAAAGTAACCCTCTCTTCTCTTTAATTCTAAGATCATATTAGGGAAGAAAGTGGAGGGAAAAAGAAAAGAAAAAGAGCCGTAACTTTAGAGAGAAAGAGAAAGAGAAAGAAAAAGAGAGCCACAACTTTACATGGGCCCAATCTTGAAGTCCATGTGAAGGAGACTTTTTAATCACTTAAAAGATAATTGGAGTATTTTTCAAATTAACCCTTTTTTCTCTTTAATTTTAAGATCATATTAGGGAAGAAAGTGGAGGGAAAAAGGAAAGAAAAGGAGAAAGCCGTAACTTTAGAGAGAAAGAGAAAGAAATTCCACTTTAGAGAGAAAGAGAAAGAAAGTTACAACCATACCGAGTCCCTATAAAATTGCATTTTGGGTTTTTTGTAATCGTTTGATCGAGCTAAAATTTGGTGAGCACATTCGAGAGAGACGAAACACATTCTAAATGGTAGAAATCTAGTTTTGAGTTTTGAAGAGTGAGATATGATACTTGCAACAATGCTATTTTCTAATAAATCTGAATTTGGTTTCTTCTCTTTTCTTTATGGATCATATTATGAGGTTTGTCAAGGATGTATAGCCATTGATGCTTGATGTATTCCTTTAAATTAATCTAGAAAAAACTCCTTGTATTACTTATTATTATTGATAGTGGAAGTCTTTGTGGACTTCGGTCTTGAAGTTTTTCTTTCTCAAAGTGAAGAGGTTCTCCATGTAAAATTCATATTTTCTTTATATAATTGATATTCTATTTTTTAGATTATTAGTTACTTTTTTATCTTGAATATTTGTTTATAGTCCTTATTTAATTGTCAAAGCAAGGGTAAAGAGGATCCACTGTGTTATTTGTGTTTCTTTGTCTAACAATTAGAAGGGTTATAATTCTTCACTTTTTCTCTTCTGGGATCAACCACATATTTTATCCCTAGAATGGTTAAAGAAGTTTCAACAACACTATTGGCAATAACAACAAACCGCTCCCCTTACTTGACTTCATCAAATACATAGAGCTGTGCTGCTGTAGGAAGCATGGAATAAAGAGGCAGAACACGCAATGCACTAGTAGAGAGACCTTTATCTCCTACCACTTTCTTCTCTGTACCATTGTTGAATAGCTCTGGGCAGTCTTCTGTCATAAAAGGAGCTTGTTTTGCCTCAGATTTGGACTCTGATGCATTCTTTCTAGCCAAAGCTTCAAAAGAAGAGTTCGATAGCACCTGATATCATTTTTAGATGCTTTTTGATCCCCTGAATCCACTTTATCAATGGCAATTTCTACTTCTCTCTCTGACAATCATAAGAGACATCTGATTCATCCTCAATAAAATCTGCCACATCTTCATCATGAGAGCCTAACCTCTCAGTTTGCCGGTGAGTCGAATTTTCTTGAATCTTAAATGCCTCATTCATATCCTTCATGTTAATACCAATTCGATGGAATTCATTTCAGACATTGCAAGCACCTTATTCGCTATATGCCCTTTAACAGTATTAGCAATCAGCTCTCTTGAAGCTTTAGGTACCTTCTAACACAAGTACTCCACTTCTCTTTGTCCTATGACAAAGATAAGTATGCCTCCTTGTGGCAGCCTCTTGTGGATTGACACATGACTTTTTTATAGGCCTGGCCAATACAATACACAGCTTCTGTTCTCTTCGAGAAATGCTCTTTTACTTCAAATTGCCTTGTAGGAACATTTATAACGGAAGGAGGATTATGAAATAACCTTATATCAGAAATGAATTCCTCCAGTCACAAGGTGGCACTCATTAAAACAAGTCTTAGTGGAAATATCATATTTTCAGTACTTTGACCAGAAAGCATCATTTGTTGCTGTTCCACGCATTTCTTCTGCCATACACGAAAAATAACATACAGTAAAAAGTTAAATACGTGAGCTCCTCATATTTCTTCTGCCATACACTAAAGATAGCATACAGTAAAAAGATAGGTGAGAAGGAAGAAGACCCATAAACTATGTTTTATAGGTAAAAATGGCAAAACGTGTCAAGATGTTAAGAGTTTTCTCTTAACAAAGTTCTAAGAAGAATTAGGGAAGAAGAAAAAGAAGACGAAGTAGAGGATTTGAGAGAAGAATTTTGTATTGATCACTTCTTTGTTTACAAAACTAAATGAATTAAAAAAATCTCGTTTCTAATAAGAATGTCTGTATTCACACTTCTCTCATCAGCTTCATCTAGAATTATCACAGAGTAACGCTTCAATAAAATAGCAGTCTGCACCATAAAAAATTTTATTGAACAACAGAAGAAAATTAACAAGAGCATACAAATCCAATTTTTCCAGACACAATATCTTTTTCTATGTGTCACACCAGCAGTGCTAGCTCTAAATAGATGACATAGCCAACAAAACCAAAAAAGCTCTAGAAGGAGAAATAACTATTGAATTTTAAATTTCCAAGAACAAGATTCAGAAAAAATACATGAAAAAATTTGAATTTTGGATCCTCAATAGTAGTACGATTCCAAGAATACATCATAGGAATTCTAAATTTCCAAGAACAACATTCAGAATAAATAATTCTATTGAATTTTACTCGCGTCAAACTAGCAGTGCTAGCTCCAAATAGATGACATAGCAAACAAAACCAAAAAGGCTCCAGAACGAAAAATAACTATTGAGTTTTAAATTTCCAGGAACAAGATTAAGAAAAACTACATGAAAAAATTTGAATTTTGGATCTTCAATGGCAGTACAATTCCAAGAATGTATCATAGGAATTCTAAATTTCTAACGAAAAATATTCGGAATAAATAATTCCACAGAGAAGGAAATGAGTAAGTGGAGGAACTTAAAATATTTTTGAGTGGGTTACCTATAAAAAGAGACAAGCTAAACTAGTGGGTCTTCAATAACTAGAAGTCTGCCTTTAGCTTATTCTTTTATATTACCCTTTTTTGGTCGGTACCAATAGATTCAAATTTATATTTCAATGTGGATTCAAGAAAGTGATATGAAGAAACACACATGAAATACCAACACAAAAGAAAGAACTCTATAAAAAGATCACATATAGGAATTAGGAACATCATTTGACAACTGAAAAACCACATACTATTGTCCTATTTTTACATGTGTCATTGGTGTACCATTCTTCAAAACACCGAAAAAACAAGATGCATGTAAAATCAGCTGAATCCAAACCTAAACTTCTCCCAGTAAAATTCCATCAGTCATAAACTTGAACAAACAGTTGCCTCCAATTCTCTTGGCATGCCTAACTTCAAACCCAACCTCTTTACCAAGATTTAGAAACTCACTACTTGTTATTGAAATAGAGCCGGAAGTACCTGCATTAGAGGCTAACCGGTGAATATTGAATATGAGAGGCAATTCTAATTTTTAGAAGTTTAAAGATGTGTTTGTGATTGATGTCTTGGATTGATTTGTTGATTACCGAGACTGATATTTGTTATAGTTTTGTTTCAAGTGTAATTTTGTGACTCAATTTTCATAACTCCTCTGTAAATTTTTTTTTTTTTTTACCCATGAGATTAAATTGAAAAAAAAATGCTTTAATTTTTTTTATTATTATTATTTTTTATAAGAAGCATATTAACTTAAAGTGCTTGGGACAGGGGAGGTGGGATTTTGGAAGATTGGGATGGAACTTATTTATTTTGTGATGTGCATGACAGGCAATGGTTTCTTTCAAAGGTAAAGGGAAATATGGAATTGTTTGAGACTATGAAAGGGAGGAAAGTTAGTCCTCGTATGCTTGTTTACGATGTTTTGATGGGTGAGTTATGTAAGGAAAAGAGACTAAGGGATGCACAAAAACTATTTGATGACATGTGTGCGAGGAGAAGATAATAAATAAATGTAGATAAGTTATTTGAAATGTACGTGAGAGTAAAGAATGCAAAATAATTAGTGCAAAAACAAAAATAAAATGTATAGGAGCGTGGCAAATTTTACTTTTCTATTTTCAGCTATTTTTTTTTATTTTAGACACATGACATATTAATCTGATATGACATGCTATGTGGATTTTTTTAATAATAGATTTTAGTTTCAAAAGGTAAATTAGTAGAAAAACAGTCGAAATGATCATGTTAAAAAAAATTGAAGAATATATAGAAGAGTTGAATAAAAAAGATAAAAGGATCACGTGAAGAAAAAAAAATATATATATATATACACACGTCTGATGTGATTAAACCTGTAGAATCCGATAGGCCTCCTAATAATTATGAATACATGTATACGGTTTCCATGCTTAAAAATAGAAGTAATTTCACATTAAAATATAGGGACCAACGGAAACAGTAAAATCTTGGCAGGGACCATATTGCACTTATAGATCTTAAGCGGCATCTGTAACTCTACGGTGTAGCTGGTCAATTTCAATTTGGTAGTTGCATTTCCACGATTCCGTGGAGTGTTATAGTTAGGCCGGGTACCCTGTGAGGAAGAAGATGTTCTCCACTTCTCTAGTTTGACCCATTTAATTGACTTCTCTTATCGCCACCATAAATTTCCTATATTACAGCGCCGACAAAGAAAGTAAGACTATGAATTAATTATGCTAGCTAGCTTTAATTATTTTTATTTATCACAAATTTCCAACTGCTACCAGGAAACAAACACAAGCGCATCAACTGAGCATGCTAAATGTTAGCCCTTGACTTAATCAAACGGTTCAAAGGCGTTACGGTAGTTAGAGTTGAGAAGTTTGAGTGTCGTTATTATATAAACAAAAGAATCATCCAAAAATTATATACAGATTGAGGTGATAATTTTTTATTTGACTAGTTATTTAATATTTTTCAAAATTCAAAATTCTCCAGTTTATCTCTTGCACCATTCATTAATATGTGCATTTTTTTTTTGTATTATTCGTTTATTTGCAATTCATTTTCTAGTTGTTATTAGAAAATTAAAAAAAGGTAATTTTTTTTAATGCTACACATATGTGCTATAAAAAGTAAGTAATGCCATAGAAAGAAATTTTCCATACCAAATTCACATGCAAACACATCTGGTGATTTTTTTTTCCCTATAGAAGACTAATTATTTATCGCTTAGCATGTCCATCTATATACAAATTTGTGAATCATTTTCCATAAAAATTCATGCATATCGAAATAAACAAATGCAGTTGGTTTTTTTTGTTTTATTCTTACTCTTTCATTTGCCATTTTTATTTATGTGTTCATACTTATACAATTACTGCAATATATATATATATATATATATATATATATATATATATATATATATATATATATATATATTGTCACTTACAATTATTAGCAAATACGAGAAAAAAAATGGAGAAGTTTAATAAACTAGTTTGATCGTTCTAGAACTTTAACAATTGTAAAAAAAAAATAAATGGATGTTTTTTTCCGAGGATGTTTGACATACAGATTATTAAATGTCCCATTGAACTGTCATTATTGAAAATGTAAGTACTATGAGTATGATATCTTTGTTTGGTTGAAAATAAAATTTCTAAGGATATATTTTTACCTTATCTTTGAGAATTAAAATAAATTTATACAAGTTTACTATTCTACCCTCCAAACTTAAAGTATCTGATTAGATAATAAAATATTTATAATTTTAATATAAACATGCTTATTACCTGTGTTCAAGGCTAATATATTGAAATGGATCTAACAATAAATTTAAATTTATAATTCCAAGTAAAATAACATACCAACTAATAAATTTCATGACATACATACTATATTAATCATTCTAGCACCTGATTGAAGTCACCGAAATACCTATTGACTACCGAAATTCATATCCCAACAAATGCATGTATGTTATTTATCTAAAGTATTTGTGTTATTATTAGTAAAAATAAGGATATGTTAGTCAGCTTGATGTAAAAGACGATCGAGGGCAATTAAATCGTGAAAATATCTTCACATAAAAATAAATAAATAAATAAATAAATAACCTTAACATCTCAAATTTCTATCCTTTCTGACTGAAATCACATTCTTAGCTCTATGGAAAGTAATGTCCTTGGACAGATGAGATACACAACAATCGATCCAAGATATTCTGACTTATCTGTTTTTGATATCTTAATTTCTATATTTTTTTTTCTAGAAGGAATTTTGAGCATGTTCATACCAAATGCACCTGAATGAATGACACTGGACACTTCTTTCTTTTTCTTTTTTCTTTTTTGCTTTTGGTTATTGGCATGTCTATTAGATCTTAGTTACATCCATTATGAAACTCAAATTTATTTGACCAAAATAAGCTATCGGTGCATGATCGTTAGTGTATACTACTTATGCCCACATGACATTCTTTTGTTTCGTAAGAAAGAGACTCAAAATCATTGAAAAATTGGGTACCATAAATGAGCCATAGTTTTATTAGCAACAGTTTGGCTACTTCTATACCCTTGTCAGATGCATGCATTATAAGTTCCTTTTAATTTCGTTTTTTTTTTTTTTTTTACTTTAAAATGAAAAAGAAAAAATCATTTCCGCTGCATTTTATTTAGAGGGAAAAAAAAAAAAGCTTACCCCTCGTTAAGGAAAAAGAAAGTGTCATGTAACTAACCACTGCCGAGAGCTGATCCCACCACTGCCTAGAGCCGATCCCCTCCAATCATCCTTGTATAGTAAACTTAGGGTTTAAAAAGTAAAATTCGTCCTCATTCTTTTATAATTTGGCAGTTTTTAATTTTTAATATCAAATTATTAGTTTTGGGATAAATTGATTTAATTTTTCTAACTATCGTTGTAACAATAAATTAGGTTAATCGTTACTTAGAAAATTAAAATTACGTTATTTTGACATTCCACTATTAATTATTTTTATTTTAAAAATATTTTAACCCCCTTAATCTTAAACTTTTTTTCTTATAAAATAAAATATTATAAATATTTTATAAAAAAACTATTTTCTATAATTTATAAAAGTAAGGGGGTGAATCTTAATCATACTCATTTTATTTTTTAAAAAAATTATAATTTATATTATAAAAATTTTAGGACTGAAAAAAAGCCTTTTATAAATTAAAAAGAGCATAATTAAGAGTTGACCCCTCTAATTTTATAAATTATAAAATGTTTATAATATTTTCTATTTTTTTAAATTTCAAAATCAGAGGAGTTAAAAATATTTATAAAATATTTTTTATATAATTTATAAAATATCTATAATATTTTATTAGATTTCTAAAAAAATTCAAGATTAAGGGATTAAAAATATTTTTAAATTTAAAAAAAACGTAATTAACAATGAAATGTCAAAACAATGTCGTTTTGATATTTCAAGTAACTATCAATTTAATTGATCGTTATATATAACGATAATTAAAAAAATTATATCAATTTTGTCTAAGAATCAATAATTTAGAGTTCAAATTAAATAATTTGGTATGAAAAATCTAAAATTATCAAATCGTAATAAAATAGAAATAAAATTTATCATTAAATCGTAATTTCAGATATGGTAATAGATCAGTTGGTTAATGCCTACCTACGTACCTAATTATGCAGGAAAAAAAAACATAAATAAATTATAAATTAATCTTTTTGATTTTGAAAAACAAAGAAGTTAGCTTTTTTATTTCAAAAACTAATTATTTAATTTTATATTTTAAAATTTTCTATAACTTAATTTTTATCAATTTATTTTGATTTTTTATTTAAAAAAATATATGAGAGGATGATAAAAAATAATATTAAAAAAACAATAATAAATTAAATATGATCAACAGAGTAAATAATTTGTTTTTAAAAAATAAAAAGACTAATTTATAATTTACTCAAACTAGCAAACAACTCCACTACTAACTGCCTGACCTGGCCCTCCTATTTCCCGCGTCACCAAAATACCTTCCCTCTTCTTGACCTCCTCCTGCCTGTTCCTTTCTTGCGTCGCATGACTCCCTAACGACCTCTTCAACACCCACTCTACAATCACCTCCACCGCTACCATATCCAACAAACCAAACCAAACAGAATAAGCTCCTCTCTCTCTCTCTCTCTCTCTCTCTCTCTCTCTCTCAATTTCCAATTCTGTTAAAATTAAAACTTGAATTTCTCCGCCATGTCCCCTCCTTCTCTCATCATCTTGATTTCTCTCTTTTCTCTTCTCTCCCTCTCTTTCTCCCAACCTCCCCCTCTTTCCCGTAAGCAACAACAATCCCTTCACTTCTCTCACTCTCTAGTACTTTTTTTTTTAATCTCTCTCTTATCTTCTTGTTCTATTTTTTTTTCTCATTATTTTCAGGTACTTTAATTGATTGCGGTGCTACCGTGCCGTCAACAATCAACGATCTTCAATGGATCCCAGACACCGGCTACATCACCAGTGGGACCTCAAAGAATGTAACAATTCCAGTTCTCAATCAAACTCTCTCCACCGTCCGATCATTTCCTCTACAAAACAATCTCCACCGCAAATTCTGCTACGTGGTCAATGTTTTCCGCGGAGCGAAGTACATGATCAGGTCAACTTACTTCTACGGAGGAATCAACGGCAATGATTCGCCTCCTGTGTTCGATCAGATTGTCGACGGAACTCTCTGGAGCGTGGTGAATACCACAGAGGATTATAGAGACGGCATGTCGTCTTACTACGAAGGTGTTTTCTTGGCTCGAGGGAAGACTATGAGTTTCTGTATTGCTGCAAATTCGTACACGGAATCTGACCCGTTTATCTCGGCCTTGGAGTTCGTGCTTTTGGGAAATTCCTTGTATAATTCGACAGATTTTAAACAGGTTGGACTCAGCTTGGTTGCCAGGCACAGTTTCGGCCACAATGAACTTATTCGGTGGGTCATCATAACCGACTATTGAATTGCATTTTAATTTGTTGTTTATGATTTCTATTTCTTTACATATGTTGAGTGGCGTTTTTTCTTCTTTCTTTCTTTCAATTAGATATCCTGATGATCAATTCGACCGGGTTTGGGAGCCATTTGTGGCGAATAATCTAACAAATTCTACTGGTAAAAATGTGTCTGTTTCTGGTATCTGGAATCTTCCTCCGTCGAAGATATTCGAAACAGAATTTACAACCGGCCGGTCAGGTCCTGGGGAACTGATGTGGCCTCCTGTGCCACTTCGTAATTCAATGTACTATATTGCTTTATACTTTGCACAAGATCATAATTCCTCGCCAGGGGGATCGAGGATGATTGATGTAAGTATTAATGGTGTGCTGTATTATAAGAATTTGAGTTTGACGCCAGCCGGTTCTGTTGTCTTCGCAACTAAGTGGCCTCTTAGTGGTCTTACGACGGTTACTTTGAGTCCGGCTAGTGGTTCGAGTGTTGATCCGTTGATTAATGGTGGAGAGGTGTTTGATGTGATTGCACTTGGAGGAAGAACACATACAAGAGATGGTATGGTTACTAAGGACCGGCCTTTTCTATTGGAGTAGTATAATTAGTTTGTTTTCTTGGAAACTTTTTGAACTTCTACTAGAATTTTATTGTTGTTGTTATGCATTGGACGAGCTTCACTTGTCATCATATGGCTAGGCATAATAACAAGAAAGTGTGATTAATGATGAGAAATAAAGGATCTTTTATGGTGATTCAGTGCATTTGTAGATATATATATTCATTCTCTGCATCACAGTCCACTTGATCACATAGTCTTTGCCATAGTGTTTGTCTTGTCCAAGAGGTGCTTCACGTAATGCTTCAAGATAGGTGGAATTAGAGTTGGATTCATTATTATCTCATTTGAAAAATCCCTATATGGAATGCTTATTTGTCATTGCAGTAATAGCTATGGAAGCACTGAAAAGCAGTCTCCAGAATGCTCCATTTGATTGGAATGGCGATCCCTGTATGCCGCGTCAGTATTCATGGACTGGAATTACATGTGCTGAAGGCCCTCGGATTCGCGTAGCTACTTTGTAAGTCGGGTCTAATCATGAGAGAATGATTCTCTGTATATGCACTGTTTCTTAGCCCTTCACAAACAATTTATCTTTTGTTTTCTTCTTGTTTCTAGGAATCTGACAAGCATGGGTCTTTCAGGGTCACTCCCACCTAGTATTGCCAGATTGACTGCATTGACTGACATGTAGGTTATCAAAACTATAATCTTCAATTAGTAGAAATTGGACAGGAATTTCTAGATTGATGATCTCCTTTTTCTTAAACAGCTGGCTTGGGAACAACACTTTATCAGGACCAATACCTGATTTCAGTTCATTAAAGATGCTGGAGACACTGTAAGATCATCCTCCTTTTTCCCTTCCCCTGTTATTTTCACCTTTCTGCTTAAAATAGGCTACTTGGTTGTAAATGGAAATGGAGCATTTTTGGATTATTTACTATTTGAATGGTCTTGTTGGCCTGTTTGTTCTGAAATGAACCTCGTGTCTTTGCTGATTAAGATATGGTGGGCTAGTTTACATACCCCCCAGGGGTTTGCTTGCATAATAGCATGCTAATGTGTTAAAATATGAGGGGATCCATTTGAGTGCTACTTGTTTGGAATTTCGTTTGGCTTTCTTTTAAAGTTTTAATACAACATATTTTTTAGATAAATATAAAATAAATAAGACTTTACCTGACATTGTTTTCATATTGGAAAGGCATTTGGAAGACAATCGATTCACTGGTGCGATCCCCCTGTCACTTGGAAACATCAAGGGTCTGCGAGAACTGTAAGACTTTTTAACACAAGAACTTATGCAAGTCTCATCTTATCATTCTGTGCATTGGTTTCATGACTTGGCTGCTTATCCATATATTTGCAGTCAATGCTGTTTGCATCTCAGGTGTCTGTCCTTCAATGCCCTTTTGGTTGTTATGCTAAATAAACAGAACCCCATTCCAAGAGCCTATGATTTTAGTGTTTAGAAATCCTTTACTGTTCAATCATAGATCTAGAACTCAGTGCAATTGGAAACGGGGGACTGTTCATTGAACAATTTAAAAATTGTGTTATTGCATGCATCGAACCTTTGGCTGTCTCTCATTGTGAGTTTTATAACAAGGGAGTGGCAACTGCATGTTTATTACAATCCTTCCCCAAGTGCATAGCACACACGACCTTTTCTAGGCAATAGAAGTACCAGTGTGGGGTTCACGTAGGTTACCACACTGGTAACTAAAATGGCAGAGTAGATCTGGAAGGGCTCATCTTTGAGATTGGTAATTAACCATTTCTGACTTGACGGACATTATATTCATACAAATTGAGACATTTTATCTGGTGCAACTTTTACCTCAATGCAGATGGTTTCAGATAGGAATTTATGACATATACATAAGAATATTTGTTTTGTCCATAACAAAGCTGTGAATAGTATTTTGAGGAGTTGATATACATGGTTTAGTTTCCAGGTTGTGATACCCAATCTTTTTCCATGGTTGGACCATTGTCATTGATTCATTGCAGATGGCTTTCTTGCCTGTATGGTAAGAAGTATCTCTGCTAAAAATTATTTTTAATTCATAGACCTGGAGAATAGTGCTGAATTGAAAAGCAATCGGAAGAACAGCTCTTTGACATATTTCTCCATACTTACTTTCTCTATCTAAGAGAATGGTTACATCAAGTTCGAATATCAGACTTTCATTGTATTTTACTGATTTATTGGTATCTAGTTAATTAGCTTTCCATTATTGTCACTATCATTACGTGCTATCAAGTTTTCGGACTTGAACAAACACCTATATAGTAAAAAATTTGAATGTTTAGTCATTTTATAGCTGAGTTGTTGACTTGTTCTTCATTTTTTGCCAGAGATCTAGATATGTTTTAATTTATCTGCTGATGATGTTTGAATATTTCATTGCAGTGTTTTTTTTTTTTTTTGGTCATCTGTAATCTTTTTATTCATTTGCTTGTGTGGTAATTCTATCTCTATTCTCTATATACCTGAGTTAGTTCCGTTTGTCTTTCAGATTCTTACAGAACAATAATCTGACTGGTCAAATTCCAAATAATCTTATTGGGAAACCTGGGCTGAATCTAAGGTGAATTTGAATGCACAATTGTTTTTGTTTATATTACTAGTTATGTACTGGTAAAACCATTTGTCAAATAATAGTTTAAGCTAACTGTTCAAATTTATTTAATTAGGACTTCTGGAAATCAGTTCTTGGCTCCACCACCCTCTTGAGCAAAACATGGTATATGCACCCAAGGCAAAGGCGGCAAGACTGCGTTTATTGAAAACCTGATTTTAACCATTTGTTGAATTCTTGATTTATTCTATATAGAGATCTACAGCATCTAGGTTTGAAAATTTTTCTAGAAGCTTTGCCACTGTCAGATCTACTATCAGTTTTATCTGTTTTGACCAATTTCAAACTCAGTCAATTCTACGAGGATCCACAACCATATGCTTCAATTGGTTGTCCATGCCAAGTCAGTCTGATTGTTGTTTAACCAGGCACAGTTGGATTATGCTGTCAATCTGTATATACATTCTTTGTTGTATACGTGTATCATATATATATATATATTTTACTTGTCAATTTGTGTAATATGAAAACACCTGGTCTCCATATTTTTATAAAATGACGAGTTTGGATTGATTGCTGTCGATTGATGTCTTATATCAGTTACTTTCCCTTGGTAGATGACTCAGCAGTCTCATTTTCTTGTTTGTAGGCCATCAGGAATGATGTCAATATTTAATCATGATCCATCTCTCCGACATGCTTTTCCACTTTCTACCTTACTTGAACTTTCCTTCGCATTTGTACAATGAGAGTAGCTTTTGGAATGTAAAGGAAAAAGAAAAAAACGAAGCTCTGCTATTTACCATCTCCATTTTGCCAATGGTCTAAAAAAAGAAATCTTGAAAACCAACTTCTGGTAGATATTCAATAATGGGGGGTCAGAAGTTACACGGCATAGTACTCTTTATCTTACGGCAAGCATTTAGTTTCGAGACAGTTGATCAGATTCCTTTTGGCCGATCCTTCCATGTGGACCTTGCTGATTCTCAGGCTCGGCATCTTTGCATGTGGCACGAGACCTCACAAGTTCCTGTCCGGAAGCAATTGAAATGTACTTGATAGTCTTCTAAGCAATAAGATATTATTTTGTTCAAAGCATAGATTATGTCGTCATTTACATTATAATTCATCAGATCCATAATAATTAACAGTACTCTAAACACAAAAGTAGGGGAACAATTTGAGATTTGAAACGAACTGATAAAAGAGATGAACGAACATACTGAACAATCCTACGGTTCATACAAACTCAAGCTACCTTTTTTTTTTTTCTTTTTTTATGCCTCCCTAATCTTCACCTTTCTAATCTCCCTTTCTTAAGGGGAAATAAAGGTGGCAATGCACTGCTCTTCACCTGTGTGCAAATTGGTACGTTTATCATTGGCCTTATTCTGATACTGGCTGATCTTGTTCTCTCCAATCCTTTCTTTATCCTCTTCACATGCTTCTCTCCATTCCCGAAACCTTTCTTCCCTTCTTCTTTAGTAACAACGTCTGCAAGGGAGCTAGAAGAAGATGATGTTGAAGAGGAAGACGATGAAGGGGACAAAGAAGAAGCGCGTTGCTTCTTTAGCCGTAGCAGCTCTTTCCATAGAACAGTACACTTTGGTGGCCTTGGAGATGGGTCATCATCAACAAACCAAACCCTTGGCTCTTCCTTGCTCACCTCCTCTTCCTCTTCTTCCTCGGCCTCTTTGGTTTTGAGGCTGATTTTGTCGAGTTTCTCAGAATGCTGCGTTTGCCAGAAGGGAAGTAATCTCCCTTCGAAAAAAAGCTCATCTGCTGTTAGCATGGCCTGACTACTCATTTTGCTTGAAAGGAACTCAAATTCTGCATTTCTAGCCTTTTCTCGCTCTGTTTCTCGATCTTTCTCAGCCTGTGGGTTTGGACTAATGGAAATGAAGTTCTTATCATCAAGGAATTCAGCAGAGAAAGAAATTCGGGGGCTTGAAAGTTGATCATTGGACCTAGATGTTACTTGAACAGTTTCTAGGGAAACCATTTTCTGTGTCTAGAATGAGAAAAATGAAGAATTTGTGGAGTTGACTGTAGTGAGTTGTGAGTGAAGAGGTGCATGGGGCTTGTGATATATAAAGGGAAGGAGTTTCCTGTAACTTTTTGATCTCCTTTGTTTTGTCATGTGAGTGATTTGTCTGGACGGTGAGATTATAAAAATTAAGTGGTCTGGTAAACCCGAAACAAGTGAGCTAAGGTGTTGTTTAGAATATGGGTAGCAGCACATGGACACCTTGGGAGGAACCAAAGACAAAGGGCTTTATTAATAAGATAATAATTTTCCATACGATTCTGAGCTCTCTGTACAGTCTTGCTTTTGAAAAATCCACGGAAAGAAAGAAAGAATTGACAGGAATTTTAGTCATTTCATCACAGTTATTAACCGTTGGAGATATTTTCTAGGTCAATTTCTAACAAGTGACTTTGCTATGGCCACTTGAAATAACGTCAATCGCATAATCTTGGTTAAGTTGTTCCAAAATTTGAAGAATAGCTTAATTATTAGGGTAATATTTGATTGGAGGTTTTTTTTTAAAAAAAATAAATTGTAGCTTTACAATTAGCTTTATTAGTTATTAGCCATTGAATAGATAGAAGGAAATTAAAGGAGGAGAAGAAAAATTAAACTAAAAAATCTATATTAGTTTAGTGGGAGTTGATCATTAAGGTTGGATCAGTCAAAGATAAGCTTTGTTGGATTGACTCTCTTGCATGAACATGGAAAGAGTCCTAAGCATGTGGCCACATGAGAGTAATTTCTCGCCATGTGAGGGCTGAATCAAAAATACAAGCAAGAGATTCATTTCAATGACCAAGACACCCTCAGAAAGAGCTTGTCTTATGCAGGTATGATATGTTATTTGCTGAATCTGCGAAGGGTTTTTGGTTGCATTGAAGAGAGTTTACAGGTGGTAGATATCATATCTTTCTGCATGCCCAATTCTTAAAAAGCTTCCACATAAGATTTGGACAGCTCTAATGAAGTTCAGACAGCTAATAAACATAGGAGTAATCTTTTAGGTATTATACAGGTTCTGTGATTTGATTATTCACAAGCACATTATTTCAGGCACTCTGTGGCCCTCCTCTCCTCTGTTCTATTATTGCGGAGAGACGATAATTGTTAAAAGCTTTAACAAATTGAAGAGACAACCAAATCAAACATGTGAAAGAAGACCCAAAAGTAAGATAAATTATTCTGTCTCAGTTTCCTCCTTTTTCTTTTGGTAACTCCACAGCAGGACGTAAAATTTGTCTAATCTTTATTAGTTAAACGACATATCTATACAACGTCTCTCCACAGTCTAATGTTCGATCCCACAGTAAATCAAAGATGTATCTACCGTCTTGTCTTGTACTCATGTGTTCAGCAGAATTCAAGTATTCCCTTCCATGTTCTGTTACTTTGTCATCAGGTTCCATCAAACATTTACAAGACATGCATTTGATGTCATGAAGTGAGCAACTTGAGCTGCCTAAGCAACACGGAAGTTGTGTTGGCGACTTGAGAGAGTAAGTTATGTTTTTTCCAAGAATCCAAGTAACCAAGAAAAAGAAAGAAGATTATGAAACTTTTTGAACACCATTAGAGCTTAATATTGCAATTAAGGCAAACTGGGACCTGTGGATATTGAGGAGTAGCTTAGCTGTATTTCTCCTCTTTCTTTTTTGGCCAAACATAATGAGAGCTAAGTTACTGTTGCCATTGCAGACAAGAGTACTCGTTTAAAGAGACAGACAACTTGATTGTAAATATTTTTGGGTGAAGGGGACCACAAATTATTTGATATCTTGACAGATTCAGAGGAAGACTGGACAATTGGCACTTTGCATCATTCTAATAGGATGGAAAAAACCGACCCACAAAAGACTCCAAGGCAAAGCAATGTGGGTTCTTGAAGTGGGGGGCCATGGTCAGTTTGCATTAAATTAAGCATAGATTTAGTTTGTTTTATGCAAAGCTTTAGCTGTTTAAGTAGAATATCTTGATTTTCAATACCATAATAATTCAGCAGGAAGGGTATAATGGCCGCTAGAGAGAGAGAGAGAGAGAGATGGGCTGCTAGTTTTGACTCCGACCAAACATATGTGCTGAGTTGAGAAAGGCCATCCATTGTTGGGCAGGCACTGCCAGCCTACAGTTGAATTTTGGTTTGTTGAAGTCGCCTGCTTGGCGTCTAAATTTGTGAAAAATTAATTCAAACGGTAACTTTTCTTATAATAAATTTCTAGTTGGGAGGGTTAGGCATTTACTTCAAGGTCAAGCAGAAAACTAGAGACATTTGGGAGATGAATAATGTCAATTCAGCATGCAGCAATGAAGATCCTTAGAAGAAGACATGATTCCTAGCCACTGTTTTGTCTGGTAGGCAAGACTAAACGTGTCCTTTATAGGGCATACTTTATTGCAGCCATTGTCAGCCATCAGATCAGCTATGGAGTGGAGGCATGCCAACCATGAACCATGAAAGCTAAGGAATGGAATGGCACAATTTGGTGTTACTATTTGGAATAAGATAGAGTACACCCCAACTCTTGTCTGATGGACAATAAAAGAAATCCACGTTTTGAAATTACTACTTGCCCTTTTTAGATGGTTTCCCTTCTTATTTGTATATTGTCCAAAATATTTGTTTGATTAAAATTTTAAATAATGTATTTTTTTAAAGTACTGTTAATTGATAAAAAAAATTATTTTTATTTTTATTTTCTGCTCTTCGCTAACAACAAATCAATATTATTTATGTTTTTTCTTATATATACAAATATTTTTAACAGAAAAATTTCAAATGAGATATTTTTGTAACATAAAAAATATTTATTCTTGTAGAAACTTCTTTACAGGACCAAATTTTGGGAATAAAATATTTATAATAGTATTTCATTTTTTCATAATTATTTTAAACTTGATCACTAATTAACTTAATAATATTTTTTATATACCATTTTAATTTTAGGTGGATTTTCTTCTTAAATTAATATCGATTACACATATGTAATATTAAATTTGAAAATTAATAATTTTAACAAAGAATATTTTTAAAAACTATTGAAAAAAAAAAGCTCAAATGATATAACAATTTATATTTTTTTAAAACTATATGAAAGTTAAAAGAGACAATTTCTCTTAAAGAAAAGAAATACTAGTTATATCAAATTTTGAAATTTAACATAACCAGTCATAATCTATCTATTATATATCCAATAGTTTTTTTTTTTTTTTTAGTAAAATAGGTTTGAAACCTTCTGATAAATAAAAAAAGAATTAAATAATTTTTTTATCCTTAATTTAATTTATTTTAATTAAAGCTAAACCAAAACAGTTAACCGCAAACTACAAGTTTTATTATTATATCAGCGTCGATTAAGACTTAAAAAAAAAAAAAAAAATTGGAATCAGGTTCTTGGTGAATCCTCTTATTCTCTCAGCTAAATTAGAAAAGAGCAGAAAAATATATTATGATCCGCCGTTCTCCTTTGAGCCTAGCTCAGGGGATTGGGCCTGGGTCTGTCTTAACAACAATACTCTTGACATTTTCCATATTAAGTTTAAGATCCATTCCGTTTCCATTTCCCTATTGACTATTTGCATAATTAAAGGACGAAGAAACAAAAGACAACCTTTGTAGTTAAGGAGGGATATTGGGAGTGACTTAAATCACAAGAAGAGTGAGAAACTCTCAAACATTTTCTTTCCAATCCAAGAGAAAAGAAACAATGAAGTGGCATCCTGCATTATTTGAGCATAGTTTAGATTTTCTTCACATAATCGTGCGTATGGGTGAGAAAATAAATAAATAAATTCAGGTGTCAAAAAATAATTAATAATTATCATTACCGATTTTACTTGTTATGTGCCATAAAAACATAATTTTCACCCACATTCATTTGTACGTGTGCTTATAAGATTTTTGTTATCAATCAAATATCATGTGCCGCATTTTACCTTAAAATTACATTTTAATTTAGAGAGTGAATAAATTATTGAAGTAGACAAATTTCATGGATTAATAAATTTTGATACATTTAACATCTTATAAGAATATTGATAATTCAGAAAAAAAAATTTAATCATAATAAACATGAAAAATAAAATTTCAAACTTTTAATTGTAGATTTAAATTAACATAGAGAAATATAGAAAATGAATATGAAATTGACATATTATCACACTTCTTTTTCTTGTTGTTGGACGGTAAGGATATTTTTTAATCAATTTATATGTTGATCGAGACTAAGTTTTTTTTAGGCAATTTTAAAAACATACTTTTTGCATTAGCTTATTCCATTAAGAAAAATTTAATAAATTTTTCTGAATGTTGTTGTCATGATTTGAACCTAAAAAATATAAAAAGTAAACAAATCTTTTTAACGTCCGGACTAACTCCTTGACATATTGTTATACTATTTGTTCCATTTTCTTTTCAATATTTTTTCATTTGATTTCGGTGTTTATGAATTTGGGTTTGGTTTCTCTTTTTGAGGAGTCGAACCGACAATCTTTTCCTTAAAGAGAAAATATCGTTACAAATGTAGCTAAAATTCCAGGGTGAAAATTACTCTATGTTCTTGTACTATCAATTTTTGGTTATTTGAACCCCTCTAATCAATATTTAGTCCTTCCATCCAACTCTGTCACCCAATTAACCTAATACTAATAGTGGTAGTTGATTTACATCTATCCAATCAAATATTGATACATGTCAATTCATGCATGAAAATATAATTTCCAAATGATAAATCTTTTACTTTTTAAAATAAAATATCTTTTTATAAAAATTGAAAAATAATAATAATAATAAATTAATTATTATTTAAAATAAAAAAATAAATAAACAAAAATAATAAATATTTTTAAAAATAATAAATAAATATTTTTTAAAAAATAATATTATCCTATATACTAAACCAAAACGCTTTTCATCGTAGCAATAAACGGTGTCAATCATTGTTCATAGCTACGGTGTTTTTGTTTTTTTTTCATTTTTTTGACTAGACCCGTTGGCCCCCCATCCGATTCTCGTTCATTTGAACAAGTAAACGACTTCCCTCCTTTTTTTTTTTGTAAACATTGAATTTTTTTTAAAATTTCCATCAATTTACTCGTTCACATGAACGATGAAACGGCTTGCACTTTTTTTTTTTCCCTAAACATTGAATTTTTTTTTTAATTTCTGTTTCTTAATAGTATTTGGTGTTAAAATTTTAAAAGAACCAATAATTAATTGGGTGTTAAAATTTTAAAGAAACTAACAATTTATTTCCTTTATTATTTATTTTAAAATTTAAAAAAATAAATAAGAAATAGTTAAATACAAAATTTTTTATTAAAAAATTATAATTATTTTTTACCATAAAACAGATTATTAAATTGAAATAATTTTTCTAAACGATTTTATATATTTTATCCAACTCGCAAGCATAGCGCGAGTAAAAAATCTAATACTATATACTAAAGAAAAACCATTTTCATCGTAGCAATGAACAGTGTTAATCACTCGTTTATTGCTATATTACTTTGGCTTTTTTTGGTTTTTAAAGTTTTCATTTTTTTTTGCCAGCACTCGCTGGCCTCCCCTCCCCTTTTTTTACCCGTTTATTGTTCATTTGAATGGTAAACGGCTTGCCCTCTTTTTTTTTTCTCTCTAAACACTAATTTTTTTTTAATTTCCGTCCGTTACTATTCACATGAACAGTAAACGGGTGGCCTCTTTTTTTTTTTCCTAAACATTGAATTTTTTTTTAATTTTAATTTCTTAATAATATTAGGTGTTAAAATTTTAAAAGAACCAACAATTAATTGGGTGTTAAAATTTTAAAAAAATCAATAATTTATTTGCTTTATTATTTATTTCTAAAATTTAAAAACACAAATAAGAAATAGTTAAATATAAATTTTTTTCATTTAAAAATTATAATTATTTTTTATCATAAAACAGATTATTAAACTGAAATAATTTTTCTATATGATTTTATATATTTTATCCAATCCGCAGCGTAGCGCGGGTAAAAAATCTAATTCTCTCTATTCCAAAGAGGTTGTTTGCCTTTCGATTTATATTTGTCCCAAAATATTTATTTGATCAAAACTTTAAGTAGTGTATTTTTCTAAAATACTTCTAATTAATATTGGCTCCATGTCATGTATGATTAAATTTATCATTAGCAACTTTTTTTTTTTTTTCGAAAGTATGAATTGAAAAGCTTGATATGGCATAACAATTAATAATCACTTGATTGTAAAAAGTCAAAAAGTATAATATCGTTAGAATAGAAAGAGTAGTAATTATTTTTAAAAACAATGAATATTTCTCTAAAAATTATAAATAAAAAACAAATTATTATTTAAAAATGAAAAAAATAAACAGAAAATAAAAAATTATTATTTATTATTTTATATATATATATATCTTTTTTAAAAAATAAATCTATTGTCTTTTCTTTTTATTTATTTTCATTTTTAAATAATAATTTATTAATTTTTTTAAAAAAATTATCCTTTTGAAATTATATTTTCAAGCATAGGTTGACACATGTAAGTACCTAATTGGATAAGCTTAGGTAAATTGATGTCTTTATGTTAGTTGGTTAACAAAGTTGAATAAAAAGATTAGCATGACCTAATTTTTTTAATACAGGATTGATTTGCTCTAAAATTGAGCAGAGAGGTTTGAATGACTAAAAATTAATAGTATAAGAACTCGGGTTGTTTTTCGCCCAAATACACCATTGGCGGTATAGAGTTACCGTAAAAGTCTAGTTTTATAAGCCAATTTAAACCTAGGTACGAACCAGTCACTGTAAAATACTGAGTTTTGTTAATTAACTCAACAACACAGATAGGTGGAAGAGTAGGCCAGCCGGAAAATTCTGCTGGTCTCGGACCTTTGACTGGATTTCATTGGACACCAA